TTGTTTTGGTCCAGAATTGAACTCGCATTAACAAGCACCACTACACACTACAACATTTTTGGTGTTGCTGGTGAGACATTTTGAGTTGTTGGGGATTGTTGTAGGATGGTGGTTGGGCTTGTGAACATTGTCAAACTCGTCACTTTTCAAATCTGAAGTCTTGCTAATGCCATTCTTAGATCTAATCCATGGCTGCCGAGTAATTCCGCCAGGATATCCCGCTGCACTCAAATTGCGATAGCGATCGGCCTAAATCCTTGTTGAAAGTGCGCTTTATCATTCTAGAGAGTACAGGTTGAGACTGTTCCAACGCGTATATGCTTGTATTATAAAGTTACGTGAGTTGTACGCAATGCTGGATCGAAGTTGGCGGACAAAATCTCTTACTCCGCTCTCTAGATTCGCATACTTTCTATCACTTGGTTCGGGTTGAACCAGCCTGAACAACATTATGACTCAACGTTCATGCGGTCAGCTTAAAACATGAAGGGGCTTGGTCTGATTTGCTGCAGTTTGGGTCAAACCAGTTGAAGCAAGGGTTGCCTTAAGTATGTAAACAGCAATGTATTCAAGAAGCCTAGGCCCAACTTCTCCCCCTGTGCTTGATTCATACATCCCTTCTTCTTGCTTCCCCATTCGCACTCTAATACGTCATTTCTTCCCAGTCCTTTAACCCCAAAGCCTTTGCACACTTTCCGTGTCCCTCTTTTCCTATTTATATCACACCTCACATGATTTGTCCCATCCTCCTCATTCCTTGGTTTTCCTATTGCTCCTGCCCAATTTCTCCCTCTCTTACTCTCCCCCCCTCCCCCATGCGCTCTCCCTAAGATGGGTCCGTACGTCCCTGGACCTACGTAAACGTAATGGTACGAGTAACATTACGTTTACGTACGTGTAAATACACGTAACTTGAGTCCGGGCAGGTAAAAATTTCCTGTGAAAAAAAAAGGCCGAATTGTTTCCGCGGTCTATATTTTTGGCGGAATGTTGCTACAGGACCGTTCAGGCACCGTATACAGCCTGGCGAGATGTTAAGAAGTTAGGTCGTAACTATAAACTATAGAGTAAGGTAGGGGTTCTAGATCGATCCACGAAGTAGCATTAGGTCGTCAATCTTTGGCATCGAGCGCAGCCTTCTGACTCTCGAGTACGTAGTGGAAGTGGGAGGTTGAGTGACTTGGAGTAACGAATTTTAGGGACGCATAGCCTCATGCGGGATCGCGTGAAATTGGGCAAAGGGCAAGCTGGTTTGTACACCTCGCGAAAAGTAACACGCCTCACCTTGTGATGCGTAATATTTTTTGCGTGTATAGATTCATCTTGTATAGTGATGTTGCCATTTCCAAATCCCCTTGATTTTTTTCACTTTAGCCATGCGGCTAAAGAAAAAAAATATCTGCCCGCAAACGTAAACCAATTTCAGCAACTCGCACGTAACGTAAAACGTACGTAAACGTAAAGGTAAAACGACACATCTCCCTTCACTTCCCTAACGTTTTCATGCCTCTGTTGAAGTTTTTCAGATTTTTGTTGCTGATGGAGTTGCTCCTGTCCGCTTCTCGTTTCCATGCAACCTTGGCCTCCCTGTATCTATCCACCACATGCCCACTTATGTTCGTGTTTGCAGATACATTCATGCCAATCAGCTCACTGGCCCAATCCCTGCTGCAATTGGCAACCTCACACACATTCAATCCTTGTGAGTAGACACGAGCAAGTACCAAACATGAATGGGTTTGAGCCGAACCTGGTCAAACCGGCTGGTGCAACTCAACAAACAACTAGGGATGAGCACAAAAATGAACACGTTCGAGGCGAACCGAACATGTTTTTTTTTTTTTTTCAAAAAAAAAAACGTAACGAACGTGTTCGATGTTCGCATGAACACGTTTGATGTTCGTTTTCATCAGATGTGTTCAACGCGGGGCATCGACGAACACTATTGTGTTCATCGACGAATTGGCCCGCAACCAATTGTAGGGTCGCGGGCCTTACAGTTTGAGCTCATTTCTTGAGCTCAAACTAGTGGCGACCTTCCCGCCCCTAACACCCACTACCCGCCCTTTCTTAGGACTCGTAGGACCGCCTAAACTCCATCTTAGAATTGAGTAGGTTACATTACCTTTTTCGAGAATGGCGGAACCTTGAAGAACTTGCGGTTTAGGGTTGGAGTATGCGTTTAGGTATCATGTGAGAGGGTCAAAGTCCCTGTCTGCCATATGTGACTATAATGAAAATTGTACACGGGCGAACACGAACGTGTTTGTTGAACACGTTCGTGTTCGCATTTGCCTTCACAGGCAAACATCGAACACCCTTTTTTGCAAAAGGTGTTCGGCGAACCGAACAGTGTTCGGTTCGTCGAACGGCTATGATCGTGCTGGGGCGAACGCGAACATGTTCGTGTTTGCCCCTTGCTCATCCCTATCAACAACCACCTTGGTTTGGGTTGAACCAGCCTGGACAGCTCATGACTCAACACTCAAGCTGTCAGCTTTAAACATGAAGGGGCTTGGGTTCGATCTGCCGCAGTTTGGGTCAAAGCAGTTAAAGCAAGGTTTTCCTGAAGTATGTGAGCAGCAATGTTTTCAAGAAACGTAGGCCTAACGCTTTTACCCTTCTCCCTCTGTGATTTTTTCATACAACCTTTCTTGTTCCTTCCCAGTCCTTTAACCTCAAAACCTTTGCACACTTCTCGTGTCCCTCTTTTCCAATTGTCATGTCACACCTCTCATTATCTGTCCCGTCCCCTTCATTGCTTTTCCTATTGCTACTAGCTTGTTTTTGCCACTCTCTTCCCCCCTCTCTTATGCTCTCTTCCATGCCCACTCTGTACACGGAATACATGCCCTGCTGCAAGAAAACAACACATCTCCTTCTACTCTCCTAACCCCATCTATCTCCTCCCATTCTGCACACACTTCGAGAACAATGTCCGTTGCGTTGCCTTTTATGCCTCTGTCTGCAAAGTTGATCTCCTTGTGCCTACCTACGTGACCTACATGACTTTTGAGTAGACTCAAAATCTGAGATCCTTGTGTCTACCTACCGCGTGGCCTTCATGTTAATCCGTGCAGATCCCTTTCTGGCAATCAGCTCACTGGCACAATTCCCACCGCAATCAGAAACCTTAGGAACCTACTTTCTCTGTAAGCCCCTTTGCTTGGCTGTGTTCCCTGTTCTGCCCCTCCCTCCAACCTTTTCCACTCGATTTCACGCCCCACTTTGCATTTTGCATATTGCTGCACATAGCTTGGGTAGTTATGCACGCAACCCTAGTCTGGGTGGCTATCTAGGGTCAGTCAACCCTATGTGTGGTTGAAATTATCCTTTGGCCCAGATAGCCCCTCAAGGCTAGGTTTGAGGATTAATGAACTTAAGAAAAATCTTTCCTCACCTTCAGTCGATATTCTCTGAACATAATCCTTTAACCTTACCTTATTGGTAGGGGGCAAGGCAATAATGTTGAAGTCCAACCAAAGGTCGGCATTTTTCCGTTTCCCAGAACGTTGTGTTTCAATATCTACGGATCGTTTCTAAGGTGGTGCATGGATGGACCAATCACCTCACTGCCTCAATCCTCCCTGCAATAAAGATCCTCATCTCGCAAGCCTGTAAAACCTGTATAACTACGCAATGGTCCGGTTCGGGTGGAACCTGGCTGAACCGGCGGGTGTAGTCGACCCCATCCCCTTTGGTCTGGGCCCTACCAGCCTGAACAGCTCATGGTTCCATGTTGTAGTCCTCAAGATTAAATCTGGGGGGGGGGGCATCATCAAAATGGTGTCTATCGAGCCAAATCAAAGGGCAATGCTTCGTCAGATCAGATTGCCTGTAATTTTCAATTGGTGGGTTGAAGATTTCGATTGATCACACCTAGGTAGGGTTGGGATACTGGTGAAACATGCAACCCACAAAAATCACGAGTAGACTAACTACGATACATGAATTACCTTTAGATGCTGTATTCCAGCTTCTTCTCCTCTCCTCTCTGAAATTCTCCTCTCGATGCCAGTCCAAACCCATGCTCGTTCTCCATAGAACCTCTCTTCCCTCCTATTCTCTTCTGATATCTTCATTTTCCATCCAGCTCTTTTTGAGATAACACCTCCCTTTCTCTCTCCCCTACTCCCTGCAGCGATCTCTCTCACAACTACCTCACAGGCCCCCTTGTTAATCTCTCAGGCATCAAAGCAGACCTCTCCAACAATTACCTGTCGCGTGAGATGCGTAGTTCTGAAGCCAACTGCAGCATACACAACATCGTAGCCAACTGCTTCACACAGGAGAAGGCATGCGGTCAACTACAGCGGCCAGCAGCACAGTGCCTGGCTTTCTGTGGCGTCTCTCCAACCACTGCTGCCTGTGGTGGTCGTGGCGTGTGCTACCCAGACGGGCCCAGTTTGGTGCCGACGTGCCTGTGTGATGCGCGGTCCAAGCAGTTTGGATTAACCCGCTGTCTCCCATTCTTAAGAGGTGAGCAGCGATTGTAGCATGCTTCACGGAGAGAACAAGGAACTGAGTCTAAGGACGTCGTAGTCTTGGTGCTCCTAAGTGATGCACTTTCTATCCATTTCCTCTCCTTTCTAGCTCTGCACTTACCGAAGGTTCATTATACTAGTTGAGCATGCTGGATTACGGTACCAAACACCCTAAAATCACCATAGACAAGGCAGACCCCGTATCTACAGGCGTCACTTCCACATGGTTTGACCATATGATCCGGTTTGCACAACTTAACACATACACATTCCGATGCTCTCCTCCCACTCACTCCCATCCTTCCCCTTCCCCATGCACCGCTGCCCTTCCCTCGCAACTATCCAGCCACCTCGAGAAGAATTCTCCCACCATTCACGGTTCTCACCAAGGGCACACAGCGGGAAACAGTGGGGAAGTTTGCAGGAAAGCCTGTGACCCTATTCATCTACCCGCCTGGTGTGACCTCAAGATGTGGCTTGGAGTTGGCATTCAGTGTCAACTTCACCTTCGCTCTCATGCCCCACTCGGGTCAAGCCGGGCCCAGTGGCTTTGCGTTTGTGATTGCCGCAACGGCCAAGGCAGGGAAACCAGGAGGTGTGGGGTACAGCGGGATGGGAGCTCGGAGCATAGCCGTTACTTTTGACATTAAAGAGAGTCACCAGGGCGTGGGGCTGAACATGTTTGGCAGAGGGGAACCCGTGGTGTCGAAGGTTTCACCATTCATGTTCACGGATGGCGATGCATACACCGCATGGGTGGATTATGAGTCTGCGGATCCGGGCACCTTTCAAGTCTTCTTGGCGAGCTCACACGAGAAGCCAGAAGAGCCGCTGCTGCTGCAGAAGGGCGTGTCGCTGTGTGCTGTGCTGCAGCCGCGGGTGAAGCAGCAGCAGGCGGCGTTCTCGTTTGGGTTTACGGCGTCCACCACTGTGAAGCCCTTCCAGCTGCATGGCATTCTATCCTCCTCTGTGCAAACAGGCAAGGCTATCTTGGGCAGGTGGGGTGATGCTGACTGCGTTGATGATAGATTCGGGGTGTTGGTGGTGAATTGTTGTTGAAAATGATGGCAATGGTTTATGATGAGCAATAGGCAGAAATAAGAATTTGGCCAAATCAACTGGTTTGACTTGAACCGGTTTGGGTTCAACCAACTCTCTGGCTCAACTCGATTCATTTGGAGCTAATCTGGGTTCAAACCTTGGCTCATTTCTGATGAGCAATACACTATGTAATGGTTCTTTAATGAGTCTTTGCTGGGCACTGATGACGATGTCTCCTGCCATGGCTAGGCATTTGTCGCGCTAGTGGTAGCTAATCAGCATGGACTTGCCTTTGCTACCCACTCTTGTGGTGCTCTCTCCCTATCCAAGACCCAACCAGCACTCTCTTGTGTCCAACCAACACTCCCTATCCTTCTCTTTTGTCTTGTGGTTTTCTCAACAGGCGCCCCTTCAACCAAGGTCGTGCAGACCAAGGAGCAAGGTGAGCTACATGCCATGTGGAAACCAGAACCTTTTATATGTTCTGAACCCTCCAGATAATAATGATGATGATGATGATGATGATGATGATGATGATGATGATGATGATGATGATGATGATGATGATGATGATGATGATGATGATGATGATGATGATGATGATGATGATGATGATGATGATGTTGATGTTGATGTTGATGATGATGATGATGATGATGATGATGATGATGATGATGATGATGATGATGATGATGATGATGATGATGATGATGATGATGATGATGATGATGATGATGATGATGATGATGATGATGATGATGATGATGATGATGATGATGATGATGATACAAGTTTTCACATGTCAGGCTTCTTTGCAGTTCATTGGAGCTTGCAAGGAGATTGGTTCAGTGACCGTTACGTCGTAAGTCCAGACCGCGCCTTGTATTTCCACTACAACCCATCCACATCTCCCTTCATCTCCACCCCTTCCCATCCTTCACAGCCCTCGGCCTCTCACTGTCAGAGGCCACATTCGCACCGACTCGAGCCAGTCCCTTTTCGCGCTATGTGAGTGCGGACTTCAAGCTGTCGGCCACCAAAGCGGACTCGTGGAGCATTCGTGATGTCCACACGTGGGACTCCGTGCCCTTCCTCAACTGGCCTGTCAAGAACCAAAACGACTGCAGTGAGTGGAAATAGACTTGCAAGCCCACTTCAGTATCTAAGCTGCTGTTGCTGTTTACTAATCGATTTCAACAACAAACTTACTAGAAATCCTGGCAATCCTTTTTCACAGCCATTTTTTCACTGCTTATTGTAGTATGTACTGCGTTCACGCAGCAGATGCCTATGAACCTGCATCTTCTAATAGAAGGCTCATGGGTCAAGTACAGCACATTAAGAGCAATTAAATAGAGAAGGGGGGATGGGAACGCAACTTCGTGAAAATCGACTCGGATTGTGAGGAAACTGGAAAACTATACTTTACCCTCTTAACATAGATTTGTAATCCATATACATGAAACGTAAAGCCTATCTTCATCACTCCATCCTTGCTCGCTTCACCTTGCTTCACCTTCACCTTCCTCTTAGATGCGTGCTGGGCGTATGCGGTGGTGGCGAGTGTGGAGGCGGCATACGGCATTGCAAAGCAGCAGGGCGCTCCCTGGATATCAGTGGGCTCTCTCTTCGCCCTCATGGGGCTCTCCGACTCCGACAAGTGCTCTGCTGGCGGCTCCCCCACCCAGGCCTTTGAGACGCTCACAGCTCTCGATGCCGCCAGTGGGCTCACAGGGGCCAGTGATCCGGTAGGGCCAGCAGAATGAGGATGAGGTATGGTATGTATGTATTGTGAGATGAGATATCGACATGGAAGATTTATAGGTACAAGTTTTTTGGAGGGTAAATCACTTTGCCCGCTTGCCTATTCTTGGGCTTGAAACTAGAATCAAAATCACCTGATCCTATCAGTCAGGAAAGATTCTAATCTTGGCCGAGAGATTGGTTGCTGATTCGTCGAGCCATCATCTGCCATAGTTGAAGTTTGTTGTGTGCCCTCCTTCCGGAGGAGCAACGGTTGCACCACTCCCTAGTTTCACAAATCTATTAAGCCTCCTCGAACTAACCATCACCCACCTTTTCCCATCCAACAATGCTGCCCTCTCGTGGCCCAAGGCAACAAAGTACCCGGTGCAGGCGTTTGAGCAAGCGCGGTTCAAGGGGTATGTCGGGCTCATGCTGGCAGTGGTTTGACTACTTTTTGTATCTTCCCAATAATCTGTCTGTGCTCTGCTCTGCAGGCAACAACGTACCCAGTACAGGCATTTGAGCGAGCGCAATTCAAGGGGTATGTGGGGCTCATGCTGGCAGTGCAGCGGCAGCCAGTGGTGGTTCACATCGAGGCGTCTCCAACCTTCATGCTATATGATGGGGTGAGTTGTTGTCACTCTCACTCACTATCATGCATGCAAACCGTGTCGTGCGATACTTGTGTTGAAATTCACCGCTTATATGATGGATTGTTTGGTGCCACTCCACTATGAGTTTGGATAATGCAGACCAATTCCCTTCGCTTTGCAGTGCTTCATTCTGCAACCCCTTCCACAGCTTCTTCATACCCATATGACTGTGCTTCTTGAACTCTTATTTTATAAATGTTGTGGCCCCATTTCGTTTCAGACGTTCAAGTACCAGGATCCTGGTTGCTACACGGGCAATCTCAACCACGTTGTACTCGTTATTGGCTACTTTATCACAAGAAACGATGGCAGCCAGAACCGCATTGCTCCTCCGTTTTGGATCATCCGCAACTCGTGGGGAGAGGAGTGGGGCAAGAGAGGGCACATGCGCATGGACATTCAGGGAGGGAATGGCGTGTGTGGCATCAACGTGCTGCCTGGCGTCTACCCCATTGTCAAGAGTGAGGCATATGTAGCCATCAATCAAAATCGTGATACTTTATAAGACTACCGCAAGTATGCAATCGAATAGAAAATTCAGGGTAGTACCAAACTCCTGAAGTACACGAGCGAGCGGCACAGCACACAATGGCATATTACAAAGCATTTTAGGGGTTCTGTACTGGACCTTATTCACTCTGCAAGCAATCTTTGTTTATAGATTCTGTCACTAGTGGTCAATCATAGTTTCTAGCTTGGTAAGCACGTATCCCCCGAGTGGTGCGTAGCTACTGTGGTGCTTAGTAGAGTTGCATGACCTGTATACTCTCTTTCCTCCACGCTTTTTTCTTTGGTGTCGTCCTCTAAACTCCATCCTCGTATTTTTCAAGTGTATCCCCACATCATGTGTCGCCCTTCAACACCTTTCCAGTTCCAGGCGACCCCTGCGGCCAGAGCAGCTACAAGGGCGATGGGGATTCGCAGCCGAGCATGAACCCGTGTGGTCGCTTCCAGTGCCAGGGGACGACAGCAACCACCAACAACTGCACCTGCATTATTCCCACCGCTCCTGTGCAGCCCTTTGTGGAGGTTGAGAATGGATACGGCTCCAACACTTGTGCTTACGGTAAGATCGCATATTTGAGAATTCTCAAAAATCGCTCATAACAGCTCCTGCAATAGTCCTGCAATAGTCCTGCAATAGTCCTGCAATAGTCCTGCAATAGTCCTGCAATAGTCCTGCAATAGTCCTGCAATAGTCCTGCAATAGTCCTGCAATAGTCCTGCAACTCCTGGCCAGCCGTTTGTGGGGGTTGTGAATAGATGCGGCTCCAACACTTGTGCTTATGGTGAGCTCTGTGGCAATTGGACAGGTGAGTAGAAGAGCAAGTACATTGGACAGTTGGTCTCGCAATGAAGTATGCCCGGCTGTTGTTGCACGCACAAGTTCTCAAATGTATGCAGTCCGTGCCACAGAGAGTGAGAGCAACGAGGTGAATTCAGTGTTCTAGAAACAAGACTCATATCAGACTCCAGTGTACGTACTCCCGCCCGCGTCTGACGTGTGCTAGAGCCCCCCTAGCTGCAAGCAACAGCCAGAGGTTGGGTCGCCATCTGGCTGGATGGGAGTGCGCAGTTGTAAAGCCTTTCTTCTGTTCCCATTTTTCCCCCTCCTTTACATCGTGTGGCAGTGGACGTGTGTGGGTCATACTTCAAGAACCCCTGCTACGTGGGAGCATGCATCAACGATGGCAAGGGCGCCTACTCTTGCATCTGCCCTCCCAACCACGTTCCCAGCACAACCGTTGACGGCTTCCCCACCTGCGATCCAAGTAGGTGGCTTGAATATGTCTGCAGGTCTCCTTTGCTCGTGAGTAAGCCTGGTAACCTCAGCTTGCTTGAGGGGCCGGCAACTTCCTTTCTCTATCTTTTGATATTCCTGCAGAACTTCTTCCTTGCATCTGTCTCACTCCCCGTTCTTGCCTGCAGCAAACACCACGGCCACCACAATGACAGTCAGCGGAGACAACTGGTGGTGCTCAGATGTTCATCCCCTTGTGGGCCTCTCACTGATTCACTTCACAGACCAAAACACTGTAAGTGAAGATGTGCTTGTGTATGCACGTAAGCATCCGTCACTTGGGTTGCAGTTTCCATATCCCTTTGTTTTCACAAAACTTCACCCATTAAATCTCGCTTCATTGTCCCAGTGAGTCCTCTACGGCACTGCAGGTCGGGTCTCCCAATTGTATGGCTACTAACTGATGTGGATATCCTCCTTTCACACTCGCATCGCTCGCATCACTTGCACGCTTCTATCCATCATGCAAAAGATTCTCTCTACTCTCAAACCTTTTCAATGACAGAAAGACTCCTAAAATGTTCTATTGGGTAGTCTTAAGGATTAACGACCTTATTCTCACCAGGACTCAGAAAGGAATGGAGGCATTGCCCATGTGGCATTGCCCATGTGGCCTTGCCCACGTGGCCTTGCCCATGTGGTCTCTTCCCCCAATGCAGGGCATTGACTGCAGCCAGCCATTGCCCAAGGACAGTGTTCTTCAGCTGGATGGTACTCCCTCCACACCCTGCACTGCCTTCTTCTACTCCCTCACTGTAAGAGATGCCGTTTTCCTGCCCACACCGCACCACATTCTACACTCAACCAACTCACCTTCTCAACTCATCGTATCGCATGATTGTCAATGCAAGTGAGCAAGATCCAATCATCTGTGCATCCCTATCCCTGCCTCTCTCCAACCCTCCAGGGGGACACCTGTGCATCCATCAGCAGACCGCTCAACTTCACAGAACCTGATCTCACCACACTCAACCCCGGCCTTGACTGCTCCAAGCCCATCAAAGCTGGCCGCTCCGTGTGCCTCGAGCGCAGTGCTGCCTTCGCCTTCACTGTCCCCGAGTGTGTTAGATACGGCACGCTCACACCTCAAGACACGTGCGAGCGGCTGCTTCAAAGGACCAGCACTTCACAAGAGGGTGCCAGTTCCAGTGAGAAGGCATGGGCGGAGCTGTATCGCAACAATCCCGGCCTTACTTGCTCCGCCACTATCCCTTCCGCAGCCTCTGCTGTCGGCAGCAACATCGGTGTGCAGGTGAGGTTAAGGTTATATATTGATCGTAAAGGTGTACAGGTGAGAATTGTGAGGGCTGGGGGAGTCTATTTTTGAGGCGCCTCAAAACTCCCTTCTGCGGCCTCTGCTGTCGGCAGCAACATCGGTGTGCAGGTGAGGATTGTGAGGAATGGGGGAGCGTTCCCAAGATTGGGGGGAGATAGGAACAGGTGGACAACGGTAGGTGCGCTTTGCAGGGCTTTTGAAAGGTTGCGCGCCTTATCGACCTTGCCTCAATTGTGCGTCTCTTGTTTCTCTACCTAGGTTTCTCCGACAGCCTTATTGATTCATGAACCTCTTTCTCATGCATCTTATGATCCCAGGTTTGCCTCAGGGCAGAGTATTGGTCGTTCACGATGGGTTTATGCAAGAAGGGGAGGGTGAAGTCTGTGCAGCCATCAATGCCATGCTCCGGTGCTTACCGCTACTACGGTGGAGCTACCTCAACAGCTATCACACGGTTTCATGACTACAATGGTAGGTCTTGCTCTGGGACTGTAGGAGCGAGGTGCATTTGTGTGCCAGTGACGTTCTGAACTGATCTGATCTCCTAAGGGCTATGGGCTGATTTCATCACATACGGTATTTAATCACATCTCAGGCGCCAGGGGCTTCTTAGAGGCGTCTTCAAATCCGTGTCAGGAACACACGAGCATGAAACGTGTATATAATCGATTGCGCAAAAATGAGCGCAAGTGTACAATGTCGTCAGCTTTCCCAGTGCAAGATTGAAAAATCACTGTTTGGTCTGAGCTCAGAAAGGGCAGTAACAATTAAGTGATGAGATATAAATGGCTTGCGATAGGATGGGACTGCACCAGACTTTGTAACAGATAGGGTGGGTCGGCACCAAAATAGATTATCTACCATACAACCAGGCCTCCAAACACACATCAACCACCAGTCACACGTTTTGTTGTCTTATTCATGTGTGCTCCCCGCAACACGCGCGCACGCGCACACACACACACACACATACAAGGAAAACGAACTCCAGCTCAAGTCTATAGAGTGACAAAAGATGCCACCACTGTGCGCAGCTTCTCATCCACCTTGCTCCAGCGGCGCTCATTCGCCCCCGTTGTCAGTGTGTAGAACTTGCCTGCTCCTCCACCACACACACACACAAACGCATGAAGTCAGCCAAAGAAACCATACGGTACGGTACCACGCACAGAAAGGGTGAAAGACAAAACTGCCAAGGATCACAAACCACGACCTTTGAAGTCTAAACCTCTAGATATACCGTCCAACAAGCGTACCGTCAAACCAACAAAAATCTCTGTTGTACTGTCTTCTTTGCCCCTGCGGTCTGCTGCTGCCATACATGCAGCAAACCTGCAGCAACACCCACCGTTGGTGATGGCAATGGTGCCAAGAGCGTGGCGAGTGTAGCTGGATGCCTGCGCCACAAATTCAAAGTCGTAGTACGTGCGCCCGTCCAGATCCCTCTCTGGGAGAGACTTTGAGGTGCCTCCCGAGCCTCAGTACGTACCGTTGGCAATGGCGATTGTGCCGAGAGCGTGGCGAGTGTAGCTGGATGCCTGCGCCACAAACTCGAAGTCATAGTACGTGCGCCCGTCCAGCTCCCTCTGTGGGAGAAATTGGGGAGATAGAAAGGACGGAGAGGGCAAGGCAGAAGGCAGACCAGTGAGCGAAAGAGGCAGCAACATGAAGAAGTGGGGCCGCATGGTAGCGGGTATAGCATGTGTGCCCCTCATAATCCCTTCGTGGGAGGGTACAGGTTGTGAAGAGGGAGAAACGGAAGCCAAGCAAGGGAGCGAGGGGGAGAGCAATAGGGAAGAAAGAAAAAAGCGTCAAGTCAGGAAGCTTTCCGTCTGCAGCCGAGTAGTTGCAGGTGAAAACCAAACACAAGCATACAGGTAGACACCACAGGAAGATGAGAAGATGAGGAGGCGTGAGAAGAAAGGAAGATGGGCGACGAGTCACCCTTCGGGAATGGTGCTAGCACATGCAGCAGGCGCGCGTGGTAAACAAGCGGAATTTGAAACAGATTCCAATTTTCACCAAACCCCAGGTGGCATGCAGATCCTGGTGGTTGCACATGGAACCATGTGGGTGCCGATCACGTGCCATGCCTGCCCACAACTGCCCTTTTCACCGAACACCAGCGACTGACTTGCGTGCCCACACCAGCCCACACCAGCCCACACCAGCCAACACCAGCCAACACCAGCCCACACCAGCCAGCACCAGCCCATGACAGTCCATGCCACCCCCCACCAGCCCACAGCACCCCACAGCAGCCTGGCTGACAGGGAGGCTTGTCTCACCACGCGTGTGTCAAGCAGCTTGGTCTTCTGTGAGGGCGCTGTGAGCACCTTCTCCACCAGCGTCTGTGCCACCTGCTCGGGGTAGAGCAGTGAGTGGGGCAGGGGAGATGGGTGGAGGGGAGGCGAATGGAAGCAGAGGGGAAACGGAGACACCCTTGAGGATTCCCTGGAGCTTGGTCTTCTGTGAGGGCGCTGTAAGCACCTCCTCCACCAGCGTCTGTGCCACCTGCACGCGACAGAGCAGAGAGTGCCGTGTGGCGAGGAGGGGAAGGGGAAGGGGAAGGGGAAGAGGAAGGGGTACGAGGGAATTAGTGAGCACTGAAACCCATCAGATATATACACTCATTTTGGGAGCCAACCAATCGCGAGATATCGTCTCGTCTTTTAAACGAAGAATTTTGTTCCTTCCCACCCAGTGTCCCCCACTTTCCTCCCTCCCCAACCCCAGCCCTTCTCCCACTACCCATTCTCTCCCTTGCCAACGGCTTCGACACACTCTCTTCTCGGGATTGTCAGCGCACGTACTACAACCCGTAGATTCGGGCTTCACATTGTCGGCAAAAGATCCAAAAGCACGTTTGGTTCTTCACACACACTCTTCTCTTATCCATCACGGGAAACGCCCACACCCTAAGCACAGTAACAGGCAACCAACCACACCACTTGTCCAAACTCTTAACATTCGCCATGGCTTGTCATCTCCACCACATTTCCGAAGTACCTCGGGCAATACATTTCGCTCTGCCCCGATTTCCAGGCTTCCTGCTTCCTGGTACAATATACCCTTCCCCAACGGCCAGGAACCAGAAACCACCACGCCTCCTCTATCGTCACGAATGCCGGGCCACACGCCTGCGCACCCTCAGGCCCGCCATCTGCTCACCACTCGCATATAGGCTGGGGTCAATATCGGCCAGCGACGCCCGCTCCGTGGGAAAGATGTTGACTGCCACGCTCTCCAGCGGCTCACCCCCCATCCATCCGCCACCCACACACACGCCACCATCCCCCCCCTTCCTTCCCAAGCACCAAAAATCGCACCTGTTCAATGGGGCCGATCTCGGCGAGCGAGGCGCGCTCCGTGGGGAAGATGTTGACCGCCACGCTCTCCAGCGGCTCGATGACGTCCTTGAACACCACGTCCTGCCCGCGCACGCTCACCTCCTGGGGTGAGGGGAGAGGAGGGGGGGTGGGAGGCGGTGAACAGGAGGGTGGGGGGGAGGGGGGGGAGGGGAGGGGAGGGCGAGATGCGAGGAGTTTCATTTCTCAAGCTCCATCGATCACGTCCTCGCATGAGCTTGAACACCACGTCGTGCCCATGAGGAATGGCGCGCTCGGCTCCTTGAGGGGGGTGGCGGAGGAGGAGGAAGGGAGGGCCACGGGGAGGAGGTAAGGGGACGGGTAAGGGGGAAGGGGCATGGCGGAACGAGTGTGGATGGAACGAGTATCTGGCGGAAGAAGGATGACGGATGAATCATTGCCGGCCGGAATGAACAGGCGCAGACCGGATACGGGCGGAACAAGCATGAGTGGATTGAGAATGGGGGAAGCGGAAACGGGAGGAACGAAAACGGGCGTAACGGAGATTAGCGGGAGGAGCATGGGCGCGAGGAGAAGGCACGGGGAAAGCGGCGCGCACCTGCCAGCCGAAGGGGTAGTAGAACTGGTACCGGTCGACGCTATCCTGATACGCCGCAAAGCAAGAGACGACTTTTGAGGCGCCTCAAAAGGAGGGCGCCTTTTGAGGCGCCTTGACATGAGGGCGGAACGCACCTGCCAGCCGAAGGGGTAGTAGAACTGGTAGCGGTCGACGCTGTCCTGATACGCCGCAAAGCCCTTGGGCGCCGCTGCCAACACACAGAGACGCAGCAGGGGGAGAGCAGAGCGGAGAGAGCGGAAAGAGCAGGGAAAAAAAAATCAAATGGCTTTCGAAGCACATCAAAAAGGGGGAACCTTTCCTATTTCCGGCCGATGCTTGCCTGCGCTGGAAAAAACGACGCGCATGTCGAAACATGCGAGCTTCCACGACCGCCTCCCTAGCGCTGCGCTTCCCTAGCAGGAAACATCCGTAGATTAGAAGACTGTGGCTAACTTGGAACGTTCCCCGTACCCGGTCGACCAGCGCCCAGTGATGCGCTGCAGCATTATGCACAGCTGTGCTACCTGTGCTATACATGCTGAGTGTGCGACACAGCTGTGCAAACTGAACGATGCAAGCTTGCTATACATGCAGATTATGATATGGTTGCTTCTTGGATCCCCTTGAAGACTTTGGAGGTCCCGTTTCGCGCAACGGGCGGGAAAGACGGGATGAGAAGAGGGGGAGGGGTCCTCCGCACTCACCGAGAGCGAGCGCGGAGTCGAGGAGCGGAGCGGGGGCGAGCGCAAGTGACACGGAGGTCGCCGCGCCGAGCAGCACGTTCCGCCTGGTCGCCGCGGGGGTGGCTGATGGCGGAACGAGGGAGGGGGAAGAGAGGGAACGGGGAGAAGAGGGCAAGGGTGAAGAAAGCGGGGAGGCAAGAAGCGCAGGGAGGAATGAGCGGATGCGCAGACCGAGAGCAAGAGTAACTCGGGCACAAGAGAGAGGAATGGAACGCCACAGATTCAACATTCGGCTAATCACGGGACTGGTGGTAGGAAAGAAATCAGCTTTCTTCGGTCACCGGAAAGAGAACATAATATAAGGGCTCGTTGACTATAGCATAATAGGACAGAGCATCGTTGACTATGGGAACAGAATGAATCACATCTAGCAAGCACCAATCACTGCCGCTGTTGTCGCATCGCGTTCCGAATCAAACTGTGATTAACCAATTTTGACTGTATCATACGCTTAGCTGTACATGCATCAGTCCACTAAATTCCATTATTCACTGTGTCAAATATACTAGACTGTTTCACATGTTCAGTGCTATATGCACCAGTCGCAATACCTTCGCAGCGAGTCGCACGCGACTGCCGATGTCCGGCTTGGGCTGCTCGCTCGGGTTGCGCAACGCAAGCGACCTTCCTCAACCCGCTTCCGCTCGCGCTGACGCCCCCCGCATTAACGCGACCCGACCAGCTCAGCGCCTCGGATTGTTGGCAGAGCAGCGATGACGTGGCGACTGAGGTGGCAGCCATGTCGAAAGCTGAAGTGGTGGAGCTTGCGAGCTGTTTGATGTCTACCGTCGGAAGGACGGAAGAGCGGGAAGCAGTGCAATGTACCTTGGCCGAAGGTAAGTAGTTGAGGAATTGAAGGATGCAAATACTCTTCTGAAAGGGCGGTACTAATTTCGAGGCATTTCAGCAATAGATTCCCTCTTGCCCAGCCATGCTGAATCAAGCCAGGAAACGAAGCAGAAAACAAGCTTGACCAAGCCGAGCAACGAGGTTTGGGTAAGGTTTGGATGAAACCTGACAGCTAAAACCCAACTGAAACTCTGGGCTCGTTTCCTTCCGTACCTACTGTTTGGCCTGGAATGGTCAGAGCTTGTTGGGGATATACCCGCGCCTGCTTGCCCTGGCTGAGAGGTATAGCTGACCAACCAGGATGGACATTGGGATGTTCGAAGAACGTGACGTGGACCAAAACTGGGTCAAGTTGCAGATCTTCCGACCTGATGTGGCAAACGGGGCTGGGTCTGTTTACGTAAACAAAGAAGTCCACGTTTCCTGTCTTTTGAACGTGGACGAAACTGCGCCACAGCACAGACGCGTGAACCGAGGGCAGGTTCGTGCGAAACAGGACACAACCAGCCTCAACTTTTCCGAACAGCGACTCCAGTTTCTTGTTCAGAATCTAAACATAAATCCATTACTGTGCGTAAACGTGTCATCCTTCCATATCGAGGATGAATCCGGCTCCCGACTGCTGACAGCCAGTCACGCATCAGCCTTTCTAAGCTTGTCCAGCATGGCACCCAGCATGAACGTGGCACTCACGCAGCGAAACACGTCAGTGGCAATTTTACTCCACTGTGGTGTCAATATTCTCGTAAAGGACATGTTCAGTTGTATGCTAGACAAGAATTGTCCTCAGGCCGTAAAAGAACTTTGTCAGGGGGGCATACAGTGGATGTAGAGGAAATACATCTTTGGGAATTGGTCAGTAACACCGAGCAAAATTCACATTACAGCTGCAAAACAATATCTAAGTACCGCGGCACGAACGAGAATTCGGTCTTGTCCAACACGCCCTCGTTCCTTCATCCATCAAATTACATTAGCGTGTTGCATGCCAATCTCTCCAGACATTCCTTGACACACTCAGAATCTACCTTTCAGCTGCCGCGTGCGCTTGCTACCAGCGGTAACCTCCGCGCGCGTGCTCCCACGTGCGAAAGTCCGCTTCTACCATGAGCCCTTCCGCCCTCGCTCCGCACTCCGCCGTCGCCGCGCGAATGATGTCCGCGCATTTTGCTCCTCCCGCGTCTTCCTCGCTCTCTCTCCGCTCTTCCCCTTCATCCCCCGCCTCCAGCGCCGCTTCCGCATCCTTCTCCGATTCCCCCTCCCCCTCCTCGTCCCGCAAATCAGCCTCCCGAGCCGCATCCTCCTCACCACTCTCCGCGATCTCCAACGGTGGCGCGGGGCCGCTTTTCCGCCGTCGAACCGCCATGCAGCGGCTCGGCGGGCTTCTCCTGCCGCTGATTGGCTCCGCGGGGGCTGCTGGGCCTGCCGTAGCGCGATCGAAGGCCTCTGAAGCAGAAGAGGTGAGCGCGCGTGGCGGATTGACGTATAACCGTAGAGATCAAGGTTTAGGCGACTTATAGCAGTCGCTGGAAGGCGTCATTTCGCGAACAGTAGTCACCTCGTATCGTCCCGGAAAGGTCTAGCAGGAGCAAGAGAGCCCTCATGTTTGAACATGGGGGCCTATGAGCAGAGAGAGTAATCGAACAGCACCAACCGGGAGGATGCAGCTAGGCTTGTGGTAACGCTGCCTTCGAGCCGTGGCGCAAGTTCTGGCTATAGCCGAGATACCTGGCGCAAGGCTAGTTCTGGGAATCGTACGAAGTCTTTTGCTGGGTATAACCCCGCCTACACCCCCCCCCCCCCCCCCCCCTCTTCCCCCCCGCCCCGTTCCCCCTCCCCCGCCCCCCTCCTTCCCCTCCCCCGGCCTCTCTTTGCTCACTTTCCCACCGCTTTCCCTTTCCCGTTTGTCTTTCTCCCCGCGCCTGGATGATTCCCCCACGTCAGGTGTTGCGGAAGGCGGAGTGGCCGGCGCAGTTCCCCTTCTCCGCGGAGGACTTCAAGCGCTACGACGAGTGAGTGCTCTACTGCGCTGCGCGGGAAATATCTGGAAAATAGGGTAACTAGTGACGATGCACGGGAGAGTGCTATGCATTTGAGTTCAACTTAGAAGTATTGATTAATGCTTGGGAAGCGGATGAGTGCTGCTGAATGTCAAAAGTACCTCCATAGAGTGAGTGTTGCGCGTGCATGCACACCAACCAATGGGCGGTCGTTGTGGCTCTATGGGAAATGGATGGATACGCAGTGGTGAGCGTAAAGACGAAGAGGTGAGTACAGGGGAGGAGGAGACATGTAAGGTGTTTTCAGTGAATTTTCTTTCTTTGGAGTGAAGGAAGACCGAGAGGAGAGTGTGCGTGCAGGGATGAGATGAGAAAGAGAGAACACCATGGCATGGAATAGGAGAGGAGAGGCACAGGCGGAACAGAGACCTTGTGAGCGATGGCACGGTGACAGGCAGGGGTGACGACTTTTGAGTCGACCCAAAAGTCAACCTCGTGAGAGATAGCATGCTGATAGGGGCCGTTTTCGGTGGCGAATGTTGCTGTGCCGATGTGAAGACAGACTTCGTGGCGTGAGGCTGGGTCTACTTTTGAGGCGCCTCAAAACTCGAACGCTGTTGCACCGCTGTTAAGACAGACTTCGTGGCGTGAGGTTGGGTCTACTTTTGAGGCGCCTCAAAACTCGAACGCTGTTGCACCGCTGTTAAGACAGACTTCGTGGCGTGAGGTTGGGGAGACGCAGGTGAGAAGATGCGGGAACGCCCTTCCGGTACGATTCACGGGAGGAAGGGCTGTGTGAAAGGGCTGTGTGAAAGGGCTGTGTGAAAGGGCTGTGTGAAAGGGCTGTGTGAAAGGGCTGTGTGAAAGGGCTGTGTGAAAGGGCTGTGTGAAAGGGCTGTGTGAAAGGGCTGTGTGAAAGGGCTGTGTGAAAGGGCGTTTCCTTACCCAAAACCCCAACATGAAAAGATCGACCATCCCCTCCCACCCTACCTATTCCCTCGTTTCCTCGCCCCCCGCAGGACGCCACACACGGTGTTCTACTCCATGCAGTGTCACTCCCTCCTTTCCGCTTCTCACCTTCTCCCACCTTTCTCCACCTCTCTCTACCTATCCCCTGGCGCCCCTCAGGACGCCAGACACGGTGTTCTACTCCATGCCGTTTTCCTCCCTCCTTCCTCCTTCCCACATCTTCCCACCTTTCTCCACCCCTTCCCTCAACCACCGCTTCTTACCCTCCTACCTATTCTCTCGTCCCTGCGTGACCTGCCTCTCAGGACGCCAGACACCGTGTTCTACTCCATGCCGCGCTTTGTCACACACATAGACGACCCCGCCATCCGCGCCCTCACTAAATTCTACAGCGAGAATCTGCCCCCGCCCAACACGCCCGGCGTTGCCGTGCTCGACATGTGCAGCAGCTGGGTGCGTTGGGGGGAGGGTGGGGGGGTGGGGGGGGGGGGGGAGTTGGGGTCTGGAAGGGGGAGGAGCGTGGGATAGAGAGCGGGGTATGAGGTTCCCTAGCTGCTGCCAAACATGCTGGGCGTTGTTGTGCTCGACATGTGCAGTAGCTGGGTGCGTTGGGGTGGGAGGGGGGGGGGGGGGGGGGGGGGGGGACGGGGGGAGAGAGAAGGGGGTGGGGTTGCGAGAGAAGGGTTGAAATTGGGGAGACCTTTGAGGTGACTGGTGGGCCTAAGACTGAGCTGACCTTTTGAGTCGACTCAAGAGGAGGTGACTGGTGAGCTTAAGACTTAGCCACCATCCTGAACGCCGGGCGTTGCCGTGCGTCCACTCCAACCTGTTTCCCCCATTTTTTCCCTCCCGGTGCACGGGGCGCAACAGATCAGCCACTACCCCAAGGGGTACAAGCAGGAGCGCGTGGTGGGCATGGGGCTCAACGAGGACGAACTGGAGCGCAATCAGGTGTGCTATCCGGTGCTGCTGGGTGCTGCTCGGAGCTGTGGTTGATGTCCGTGCTGCTAGGGTGCTGTGCGGATGCGTTTCTGGGGGATGAGAGAACTCGTTCCGGCATTTCCCTTGTCCATCCACCATTCAGCTCTTTGCACGTTCCCTAATGAGGTATCTCAAAACTGTTCCCCTCCCCCCCTGCTACATGCTTTCTCCCCCACGTTCTTGCTCTTACACGATACACCATGCTGCTTCAACCTTATTCCCGTGCTGCCTGCCTTGTTCCTCTTCTTCCTCCTCCTCCCCCTTTCATTGTAACCACCCCTCACTGTCCTCGCGACTTTGAAAACGCTGTAACACTAAACTCCCTTCTCCGCTCCCGCCCCCCGTCCCTCCTCTGTACTTTTGTGCCCTGTTGTAATCGTGCTACCTTCACCCCTCCCTTGCCTTGGTGCACACCCACACCAGGTGTTGACAGAGTATCTGGTTCAAGACCTCAACGTCAACACTGAGCTTCCCTGTTGTAATCGCAAACTCCGCCCCTCCTTGCCTTTGTGCCCACGTGCCCACGTGCCCACACCAGGTGTCGAAAGAGTATCTGGTTCAAGACCTCAACGCCAACACTGAGCTTCCCTTATCTAATCACCACTACCTGTGCCCCTCCCTTGTCTTGCCTTGCCCCGCCCACATGCCCTCCCGCCCACACCAGGTGTTGACAGAGTATCTGGTTCAAGACCTCAACTCCAACACCAAGCTACCCTTCCCAGACAACACATTCGACGCCATCACCAATGCTGTACGTATCTTGTAATGCTCCTCGAAAACAATCCCTCTCCCGTATTCCACTCCGCTTGTCTGCTAGTAGTCCTGCACCCGTGCCTATTGCCCTGCACACCTGCTCCTAGCGCCCCTTACCACCACGCGCATCCCCATCCCATCCCATCCCATCCCATCCCATCCCATCCCATCCCATCCCATCCCATCCCATCCCATCCCATCCCATCCCATCCCATCCCATCCCATCCCATCCCATCCCATCCCATCTCTTACCTGTGAATTACTCTGGAAAAGTACAGCGAGGCAACAAGAGAGCACCGGTGTGGACCACTTGACCAGCCTCTGTTATCTGTTTCCGAGAATGTTCAAAGCAGCGAGTGCTGAAAGAAGAGAGCGCCGATTGTAGCAGCCCGTGTGGAACACGCAACCCAGCTACTTCAAGGCTTGAGGATACATGCATACATACATACATGCATACATACATACATTCTATGCAGCCCCCGTGCCTCGGGTTTTGAGACGTCTCAAAAGTCAGCTACTTGAAGGCTTGAGGATACATGCATACATACATTCTACTTCTATGCAGCCCCCGTGCCTCGGCTGCATAGAATGTATGTTGCATGTGCCTCGGGGCATAGGATATTTTATGCAACTCAGCTACTTCACGGCTTGAGGATACATGCATACATACATTCTACTTCTATGCAGCCCCCGTGCCTCGGCTTTCCAGTTGCAGGGTTCCTGGAAGGAAACTCACCGTGGCCTCTCCCATCCCCCCTCCACCGCCTCGCCCCCCTCCTCCCCCTTCTCCTCCCCCCCCCCCCCCCCCCCCCAACCCCCTCCACCTCCAGGTGAGTGTTGACTACCTGAGCCGCCCTCTGGAGGTATTCCAAGAGATGCACCGCGTGCTCAAGCCGGGCGGGCTGGCCATAATGAGTTTCTCCAACCGCTGCTTCTGGACCAAGGCCATCCAGATCTGGACGTCCACAGGGGACATCGACCACATTCTCATCGTTGGCTCATACTTCCACTATGCCGGCGGCTACGAGCCCCCCCAGGTTAGACCTACCCGCCCCAGGTGAGCCCGGCCCCCACAGGTGAGTCCTGCCCAACCCTAGGTGAACCCCACCCAACCGCTGCTTCTGGACCAAAGCCATCCAGATCTGGACGTCCACGGTAGACATCGACCACATTCTCATCATCGGCTCCTACTTCCACTATGCTGGAGGCTACGAGCCCCCCCAGGTCAGCTCCTCGCGCTCAGGTGAGGCCCACCCGGTGTGTGCATTCTTCTCGTCCACGGGGGACATCGACCACATTCTCATCGTCGGCTCCTACTTCCACTATGCCGGCGGTTACGAGCCCCCCCAGGTGAGGAGGTTCATCCTGGTTTTTGAAAATTCCCAAAACCGGTGAGACCTGCTAACAGGTGAGGCCCACCCCCCACGGGGGACATCGACCACATCCTCATCGTTAGCTCATACTTCCACTATAGCGGCGGCTACGAGCCCCCCCAGGTGTGGTCCATCCCAGGTGTGGTCCATCCCAGGTGTGGTCCATCCCAGGTGTGGTCCATCCCAGGTGTGGTTCATCCCAGGTGAGGCCCGCTCCCAGGTGAGGCCTGCTCCCAGGTGAGGCCTGCTCCCAGGTGAGGCCTGCTCCCAGGTGAGGCCTGCTCCCAGGTGAGGCCTGCTCCCAGGTGAGGCCCGCTCCCAGGTGAGGCCCGCTCCCAGGTGAGGCCTGCTCCCAGGTGAGGCCAGCTCCCAGGTGAGGCCTGCTCCCAGGTGAGGCCTGCTCCCAGGTGAGGCCCGCTCCCAGGTGAGGCCCGCTCCCAGGTGAGGCCCGCTCCCAGGTGAGGCCCGCTCCCAGGTGAGGCCCGCTCCCAGGTGAGGCCCGCTCCCAGGTGAGGCCTGCTCCCAGGTGAGGCCTGCTCCCAGGTGAGGCCTGCTCCCAGGTGAGGCCCGCTCCCAGGTGAGGCCTGCTCCCAGGTGAGGCCCGCTCCCAGGTGAGACCCGCTCCCAGGTGAGGCCCGCTCCCAGGTGAGGCCTGCTCCCAGGTGAGGCCTGCTCCCAGGTGAGGCCTGTTCCCAGGTGAGGCCTGCTCCCAGGTGAGGCCTGCTCCCAGGTGAGGCCTGCTCCCAGGTGAGTCCTGCTCCCAGGTGAGGCCTGCTCCCAGGTGAGGCCTGCTCCCAGGTGAGGCCTGCTCCCAGGTGAGGCCTGCTCCCAGGTGAGGCCTGCTCCCAGGTGAGGCCTGCTCCCAGGTGAGGCCTGCTCCCAGGTGAGGCCTGCTCCCAGGTGAGGCCCGCTCCCAGGTGAGGCCTGCTCCCAGGTGAGGCCTGCTCCCAGGTGAGGCCCGCTCCCAGGTGAGGCCTGCTCCCAGGTGAGGCCTGCTCCCAGGTGAGGCCTGCTCCCAGGTGAGGCCTGCTCCCAGGTGAGGCCTGCTCCCAGGTGAGGCCTGCTCCCAGGTGAGGCCTGCCTGCCCCCCAGGAGAGCGTGTCTTTCGATCACGGGGGACATCAATCACATCCTCGTTGTTGGATCGTACTGTCACTAGTCTAGTCTGGCACCTATGAAACCCCCCACATGAAGCCTGCCAGACCTTGGTGAGATGAGAACCTGCCCCAGGTGAGACCTGTCTCAGGTGAGACCTGTCTCAGGTGAGACCTGCCCCAAGTGAGCTCCTTCCAGATATGCTTATTTGTTTCAGGCTAGTCCTTCCTCTTCTAGATAAATCACTCCCTGATTTATTTTTTCTATCCAATTTTGTTGTGAGGGTAAATCTTACCCAGGGTAATCTCTGCGTATAAGATTCTTTTCCTATTTTCCTGGGTGGTGTTTCCTCTCTGCTGGGTGAATCTGTAGCTACTTAGGGAATACAGCACTAGGTGGGTGAAGTATCAAAAACACCAATCATGGTCTCACGCTGTTGTATCCCATTCCTTAATCTAGTCCACCAATTGCCTTTCCTGTTTGCCTAAGTCTGCTCTCTGCCCCTTCTGTTTTCCTGGCCCCCATGCATATGTGCATGTTCTCGATTGCTACCCCAACAGGCCCGGGATATTTCTCCCTATCCTGGCAGAACAGACCCTATGTACGTAGTGTATTCGCGGAAGCTGTCAGCGTAGATCTGTACCATAAAAGTGACGATTCTGAAAATCTGTTTGCGGTTATTCCAAGATCAGGTGTAGTTTGAAATTCATGCCATTCAAATGCTCAATGTAATTTTACCAAACAACTCTTTCTGTTTTAGGTATGATGACCATCTACAACCAAAGTATGGTTGCAATATCCTTTTACGCGAGGTACTACCTCAAAGTTGCAGTGATGTTAGACTAACTGTACATGGCTCCAATATAAAATGTATTAGAAAATGAGAGATGGTCTGATCTAATAATTTACCCTTCTATGTTTCTGGACTCATAAGTTTTTAAACTGACATTGAAATATTAATGATAATTATAATACAGCAATACTCTAATAATAGTAAAATAAAAAGAAATAATGATAATGATAATAGTGATATCTATATTAATAATAGATAAAAATAATAATAATGTTACGTGTGCAATGAAACGAAGCAGCGAGAATTGCACTAAGGTGTCAAATGAGTACGAAATGTGAGCGGAGGCATGAGCGAACATTTATATGCGAAACATGCAAACGGTAACGCGAAACGTGCAAACTAGCTAATACTACGCTTGAAGCAAGGCTCAGGCTAGCCCCGAAGCGTAGGCTGACACGGCCAGGCCAGCAGTGCGAGGTTTGGTGAAACGGTGCGCGCGAAGTCGGCGAAGCCCCATTAGCAGTAATGGGCGAACAACGGCTGCTGCTGTACGCGGTGTTGCAGGGTGCGCTAAGGAATATCGAGAAAATTCCTTACACTACCCCCCCCCTCAAGAATCCCCCTCCGCTACGCGAGTGCGTATTTATCGCGGAAGCCCCGGCTCTTCAGGTACACTTGCAGGGCAAGGTGGTTTTCGATGTTGGCCAGGGGCACCCAGCTGTCGACAGTTGGCGTGCAATCCTTCCAGCGAACGAGGAATTCAATCCTCTTGATTCCCGAGGGGTGTCTAATCCGATGGCTCAGGATTTTTTCGGGCTTGATGATCGGCTCCGATGCAGGGCGGGTCATGGATGGCGGGCAGTGGCAAGGCAGTTGGCTTGTGGTTGGGATGTATAGGCGAAGCAAGCTGACGTGGAACGAAGGGCTGATGTACCAATCGGTCGGTAACAGTAGGTGCTCGGTTACTGGCGTGATCATGTGGCTGATTTGGAATGGGCCACAGTAGCGCGGTCGAAGTTTTTGTATGTCGGGCAGTCGCAGATTTTGCGTGTCGAGCAGTACGTAATCCCCTGACTGGTATGTGACTGGGCGGCGGTTGCGGTCAGCGTTGCGCTTAGCGATGACGTTTGCTTTTTTAATTGCTTATGCGGCTCTAGTGCGGGCAGCTTGCAGAATTTCGGCAAATTGCTGTGCACGTGGTGTTGGGTTGTCCGGACTCGGCGTCATAGGCACTATAGTGTTTTGCCCGTAGTTCAAGTAGAAGGGGGACTGCTGCGTCGTCGCTGACGTGGCATTGTTATATGCGAACTCGATCAGCGGCAGCTGCTGCTCCCAAGTCGTGGGGTCGTCGCACGTGGCATGAATCAACTGCTCCATCGTCTGATTCGTCCGCTCTGTTTGACCGTTGGTCTCGGGGTGGTACGACGAACTGAACTGTAGCCTGGTCTCGAACTGCTCCCAGAGATTTTTCCAGAAGTTGCTGGTAAACTTTGTGTGTCCCTGTCGCTGATAATTGCTGCTGGTATCCCGTGCAGGCGAACAACGGCTGCGATGAACAGACGAGCGGTCTCCTTAGCTGAGATCGACTTTTTGCACGCAGCGAAGTGTGCCATCTTCGTCAACATGTCAACGACGACCATCACCGCGTCGTTACCCCCTGGGTTTGAAGGTAGCCCTGTGACGAAGTCCATGGTAACTATTAGAATACGAGCTTAAGAGGTAGTTGAGATTTAAGCGGGGCCTAGGCTTAATAGCCTAGGCCAACGGGAAGTCGAGTGGTTTGTGCCAAGGGAGAGTGTCGAGAGAATTGGGAATGGGTGTTCACTATAGCAAGAGAGTACATATAGCAAACAAGTGAAGAAAGAGGTGCACCACCTATAAAGTTCATATCTATACTACAGTTAGAACTACATGCAGGTATAAGAATATGATTCTGACATCCCCATATAACTGCATGCAGGAATAGCTAAGTGCAAAACACAACCTGCAGGGGTACACCACAGACTAATAAAACAACAACAACAGGTACGGTAACAAAGCAGGTATAGCAGGTCGACAGCAAGAAATTCTTGCCACCCCCTTACCCTCTCCCCCCCCCCCAACCACAGGAGGGGCAGCAGGGAGAGTGAGGAGGCGGGCTAGCTCTGGCTGGTCACCCCCTCCATCTCCTCACCCTCCCCCTCCCCCTCCCCCTCCCCCCCACACTGCTGCAGGAGCAGCAGAGGGGGGAAGAGAGGAGATGTGGAGGGACGGCTGCTGGTTGGTCTCACACTCGCCACCCTAGTGCCACTCCCCCGGCTCCCCCACACCCTCACACCTTCTCCCCCAGCGGCAGCTGCAGCAGTGGGAACGAAAGGAGGAGGAGGAGAAGGGAAGCACACTACCCAACACTCCAACACCCGCCACCCCCATACCCTCCCCCCCACGGCTGCAGGGAGACGAAGGAGGAGGGGGTGGGCGGGAAGAAAGCCGCAGAGCGGCTACAGAGAGTCGGCGCAGGTAGGTCAGGGGCGGATGCAGGGAGTGCAGGCGCGGGGTGAGGCAGAGGCACCGCCGAGTGCGCCAGGGGAGGGTACTTGGCGGTTTAGGACACCGTCGCAGGTGCCAGGGGCGGTTCCGCGACAGCTTAAGGGCACCGTCGCGCATGCCACGGGGTGCACGACGAGCAGGGCACCGTCGCGTGCCAAGGGGCGCATGACGGGCAAGTTCAAGTTTAGGGCACCGTCGTGTGCCTCGGGGCGCACGACGAGCAGGGCACCGTCGCGTGCCACGGGGCGCACAATGGGCAAGTTTAGGGCACCGTCGCATGCCACGGGGCGCGCGACGGGCAGAGAAGATGTCACTCGCCACCCGGGGGCGGGACAGGACGAAAATCGTCACGCGCCCTAGGCGCGCGACTGGAAAAACAGTAGTGGAAGCATAAGGCGGGCCCAAAGGCCAGGACGAAACACGCTCTAATGTCATGTTAGAATACGAGCTTAAGAGGTAGTTGAGAGTTAAGTGGGGCCTAGGCTTAGTAGCCTAGGCCAAGGGGAAGTCGAGTGGTTTGTGCCAAGGGAGAGTGTCGAGAGAATTGGGAATGGATGTTCACTATAGCAAGAGAGTACATATAGCAAACAAGTGAAGAAAGAGGTGCACCACCTATAAAGTTCATATCTACACTATAGCTAGAACTACATGCAGGTATAAGAATATAATTCTGACAGTAACCTGCTGCCAGGCGCGCTCGGGCAGTGGTATCGGCTGCAATTGACCCGCCTTCCGCTTCCTCGAGCTTTTCATCACCTGACATGTGGGGCACGAGCCCACGTGCTGCTGCACGTCGGTCAACAGCTCCGGCCAGTAGTAATACCGCTGCAGTTGCTGTCGTATTTTTTCTACCCCAAAATGTCCCGAGGTAATTCCGTCGTGTGCCTCCTGTAGTAGCAGCTCCCTTAGTAGTGAGTACGCGGGTACCTAGATGCGGTTGGTGCCTATATTTACGTAATAAACTCCTTTAGCTTCTGCCAGTTGCTGTGAGTTTCCAGTCGTGAAAAATGGGCCGGTGTGGTATCCGTGGGTGAATAGGCCTGTTAAAAGTGGGTTGGTATGGGCGAGTAGGTACTGTAGTGATCGGTGGTCTGTCCGTACTGTCATGTCGGCGCCAGTCAGGCAACAACGCCAAACCTTGAACGCGTGCACGATCGCCAACATTTTGCGGTCGTGTATCAGGTAGTTGTGTTTGGGCGGGTGCAGCTTGCGGGACTCGTACGCGATTGGTTGGAGGCCGTTCCCAAAATCCTGCAACAGCACTGCTCCCACAGCGATGTCACTTGCGTCAGTGACGAGCTCGAACGGGCGGTGTGGATCGGCGATGTGAAGCACGGGCGGTGAGCACAAAATGTTTTTGAGGGCCGAGAAGGCAACTTGCTCTTTCTCCCCCCACGTGTACTCAACCCCCTTCCTCAGCAGGTCTGTCAGCGGGGCAGTCAGCTTCGCCATGTCGGGGACAAACCGGCGCACGTAGTTGACGAACCCCAAAAAACTCTGCAACTCGGTCAAGTTGGTCGGCGCGTGCCATGCTTAAATCGTCACAATTTTCTTCGGGTCTATTTCCACTCCTACAACTGAAATAATGTGTCCCAAAAACTCCAGGCGGTCCTGTAAAAATTCACACTTAGATGCTTTTGTCAGTAGGCGGTTCTCACTCAGTATTTTAAAAATTGCTTCGATGTCCTGTAAGTGCTGTGTTCTG